AACGCTAGAATGACATAAAGCCTGTTATCAAATGAGTGTCAAATGCATTTGGTTCATTCGACAGTACTAATGACATTTGCAGAATGATTCGAACTCACATACACCCCTGACTGTATTATCCTATTTATCCACACACACACGCATACAAACACAGACATTACTTACGCGTATTCTATTTCCTTGAACTATATGATTTTGTAACCTATAAAAGAGTGCTGTATTTGGCTAGTAAATGAGGCACCGAAAACGAGCTTGTTTGCCAAATTGACTTCTCGATGCAATCCACGGGTATTTTCCAATATATATATATATTTGTTACAATAACTTCATTTGCAGCATGGGGTAAATTTTTTTGGACAACTCTTTCAGATCCAGTCCATTGGTGCATCAATACTATGATTCGATGTTCTGTAGTTTGGTTAGTAGCTACTAACGGCAACAAATGCGACTTAAGCGTCTTTGGGAAATATTTTACAATATGTAGTATATAAATGACTGGAAAAAAAATTTTAGGGCCAATTTCAGCTGGCTCCAATCAACATCACACCTAACGCTCCCTCCACTTCTAATTGGCAAATAGTCTCGGTTGATGCCAGTCCTCCATTTAAACTGGAGGTTTCCCGAGGAATACGTTTTCTCAAAAGGCATAAGGCTTCCGGCCTAGATGGGCGCTTCCCATCGGCGTTTAAGAATGGATGTTCAACCTACTTCTTGGAAATGAAGTAACTCCTGGGTTCAATAAGGGGAAGGGAACAGGTTCCAACTGAATGGTGTGAACTGGTAATCATACTGATTTACAGGAAAGACAACAGATAGTCTTGTGATAACCACAGAGAATTTAGTTTATTCAACATTGCCTGATCGACGTGGTACGGATCACATTTTCACTCCACTCGTCAAATTCGAGAACACAGACACTCCTTTCATAGACCCACCATTTCTATCTTTTTCGATCTAAAAGCACCCTTCGACCGTTCTAAACTCTTGTGATGATTTTCGCTGAAGAGTGCAATCTCTAAACTAATAGCCAAATTTGGTGATTCAGACTTCCGTGACCGCAATCCATGCACGAATAGGTACAGTTTCATGTCATTCAATCACCGCTCAGGAAGCTCGACCAATGGTACACCGGTCGAACATGACATCTCTATAAAACATGATCTAATTCCATCAATAAGGATAAGCATTTGCTGCTATCAATTCTTCGTGTATTTCATTGGTGTCCGCAGTTCGGGTTGGAGCCAATTCAGTTCTGAGTAGTACAGTCCGGATTATCGTATTCCTAAATTCAATACTATGCCGATTACCCGACCAAACCTAAGTCCCAGATTACCGCACTCTTTGAACCGAGTTCACCACAGAAAGCGGTATTCGTCACGGCTGCCCTCTGTCTCTCCGTTTCTGTTTAACTTCGTTATAGATTTCATTATTGAAACAGCTCTTTTATTCCTGCGAGGATTGATTTTTTACTTCCAGACGGTAAACTATCTGGTCTATACCTTTTTCAGTTTAAGACGGCTGAATTTCAATTTAAGATGGCACAATATGAATTTAAGATTTCCGAATATCAATTTAAGATGTCATGTTGCTATGTGGATGGTACCTTGCACAGGACAGAGTGAAAACGTTTGATGGGACCCCTGTTTACATCTTACATCTAAAAGATGTAAGGTATGGAGTATGCAGATAACATTGTACTGTTAAGTGAAGATTCAGGTAAGCTGCAAGCTTTTCTGGATAGCTAGAGTGCCTGTGTTCTTTATGTATTTTGCACCTTCGAAGTGTAAAATGCTACTAGACTGGGTTGGTCCAGAACCCGGCCTCACTGTAACTGGGGAAGTAATAGTGCAAGTGGACAAGTTTGGCCAATTATATCTCACTCAGTGGACGCATCACGGATGAAGTTTCAGCTTGCATACAGAAGGCTCGGTTGTTATTTGCCAAATAGGGTGGTGGTGGTGCAGTGGTTTATCGCTGTCACCGGCGTGCTTTGGATCCTGTGGTCCGAGGTTCGAGCCCCGCGTCCGGTTCAGTACCACGCCTAGCCTATCGGGGCCTTATGTGGTTCGCCACCCCAAGTTCCGGGGCTTAGGTTGCCGATTTGAAACACTGAACAGCAGGCCCTCGTGACTATGGGGTTGACCCCGTCTGCCGTTCATCATACCTAGGTGTGTAATAAAAAATAGAGACAAATGTGACTCCACCGCAACATCCGACTGTCCAAGGATAGTCGATAGTGTTCTGCAGCAGTTCGATCAGTTCTACCATTCAGCGCAGAAACTTGACCATTAGGAAAATAGGATAGGATGAACTGTCAGTGTTCAAACACCGCTGACCACGTCACATTGCACGAGTCTGGTGGGGCAGCCGGATGAGCAGTGCTGAGGTTAGGTGAAGAGTTTTAGATAATCCCGGTCCTTACCTGGATCAAGTGTTCGACTTCTATAGACTATGCTGTTTGGAGCGTATGTTACGCATATCACCAGATGGGTTACCGCGTCGCCCGCTGCTTGCCGAGGCAGGTAGTGGGTGGAACAAGCAAACGGGGTTCCAAATAAGATTTGTCACCAGGGTATGAAAACTCCAACCAGGACACTGGGTTACATAGGTCCCCTTTGTCTCTCTGGATGTGGACTCCGGGATAATTGTAATAACTGTTTAGAGATACTGAATAATATGACTAACTCTCGTAAATAGTGTCGCTCGTGCAAGCACAGTGAGGAGACGCACGAGCGCCACTGTTTAATACACTCAACCATAGCTGTCTCCAACCATTGATGACAATTAGTCTGTTGTCTCCACTCAGGAAGCCTAACACAACCTTTGTGAGCAAGTCTCCTGGTCGGCGTTTCCATACCCTCCTGATAGGTTTGAGTCTGACCAACCTTTATTTTTTTCTACCCATCACAATATGCAAACGTGACAAGAATGATATGGCAAATCGATTTGATAACTAATGTGGAGAGCCAAATTACAAAGAACCTGAAGAAAAAGAACAATACCTATAACTACCCCAACAGATTTGCTGATATAGATATGAAGATAACCCCAACCAAGTTACAGTTCACATGCTTCTCAAAGGAGCAAATCCGCTTCGAATATTCCGTTGAAAGAAACAAAAAAGTATATGCTGACTCACTAACTAAAAGATACCAAAAGCTTAAGATTTACAACAGTTTTTTTTACTGTTTTACACTAATCTCCATGTGAACCCAACTCAATGATATGGTTTATACTGGCACCGTTTGTATAAAATTTATGCACATGTACAGCACCGTTAGCAAACCTTACGAACAGGTTTCACCTCCAGTTCGGTCAACTTAATAAAGTTTATTTTTCTGCAGTGTCCCCCCGTCCTGATGTTCGTTCAAACCATTTTGCTGATCGAATGTATTTGGTGTGATAGTTACCTACTCCCCAGATCGGGCTAACTGGAAATCCTGTCACGTTTCCACAATCCAACTAATTCATAGCAAGCGGTATCTCAGTTATCATCAGGGCACACAATCCTCCTTTATGATCCTCTTCCGTTGTATGCGATAAACGCAGCTTCCGGAATGATGTACTGCAAACAGGGTATCTCACTCATCGACATTCAGAACTGCGTTATGCACTGCAGCGGACAGACACAGCTAACCGATTCCGCTTGGTTTACTTCGCAAACTGCGTTGCTGTTAGTGAGATAAAACCACAAACCCATATGCATAACTCACTGAGCCGCACCCGCGCTATGGGTGACCCATCCCACCAAGAAGCACCGGGGTTTTGCTGCTGTGTCGCCACCAACGGCAATGGGGAATATGACACTAAGAGGCCACCCATCCACAACGAAGAGGTGGACTGCGATCTGAACAGTGTTGGTCATGCGGAGGTCAGTGCCCCCTTGCAGCAGGGCGAAGTCTGTAACCATAATCCCATATCTCGGCGGTAGACAGACATGCCCCACAAGTCTACCTTGAAAGCGATGACGAGAGAGCTTGTCTTGGAAGATCCAGATATCAGACTGGTAAATGGTCCTCCCGTTTACCCTAGCTGGATTGGATGGAGCAAACGTCAAGTGGATTCATGTGTTTTCACATCTTCGCTTAGGCCCCGAAATGTTAGTTGACCCACCTGGTGACTATAGTCGCACAACACACACCAAGCTCCACCAGTGCAAACTATACAAAATACACTCAAAACTGTTCTTAGGATGAGAAGAGAAGATGCATAGCTCTATCAGTTTGACACAGTAAAACATTTTTATTGTCTGCCCAAACTTATGTAACGAGAAAAGACGAAAGGAATTTCGTCTACTCTGGAAACGAAAAGAAGTTCAATTTAGATGAGACTGACGCATTGAATTACTTTTGGTAATAACTCAAAAAACGATCGGTGCTTCAGTAAGGGTGCATACGACGGAAATTCTCCGAAGTTGTGAATTGTTTTCTCGATCAACAGTTAAACCGAACTGTCGGATGATTCTGAATATACAGATCGAATACATACTACTGAGTATGAAATTCCACTGGGTTTCATTTTCACCCGAATCTGATGAATCTGGGCCACATGGCAAGACATCTCACACTCATTCACCCCTCCAACGGAATTATGTGTACATGTGACCTAGGAAAATTGACGTTTTTGTTTAAATCCTTCGCTGGTCTTGACAAACCAGTCACCGATCTCAGTGAATGAACGACGAATTTAGAGGACAGTAAGAAAGTGCAATCGTTCTGGCTGAAATCGTCAGGTTTCTCTCCGGGATACTTGCGAATACTTCAAGCGTCGCAATACGCTAAAGTGAAAACCGACCGGATCGGTCCAGAAAAGAACTGATAGATCGAGAGAGAGAAGCCAGTGACCACGGAGAAGTTGGAAAATAGTGTAAAATGTTCATGACTTCAACCCTCACCTATTAAGTGGTGAATCAGCTCAGCGATTTTTGCATAGCTATTCATCCGCACAACCCTTGCTGTCTTGACTTTTCTTCAATTCAAGCAATTTTTCCTGATATGGAGATGGAAGAATTGGATTGCTAGGAACGTTTGTAATATGCTTAGTTAAAACACATCGTGCTAAACACAGTTGTTCTAGCCACCACGCAACTTTCCGGCATCTTCTTATTCAAAATAAATCAGTTATATAGTCAAATTAAAATTTGCTTCAATGTCCACACGTGATTCGTCGTTTGTGATTGTTTTTTGTGTGGCACAATGAAAATGATTTCAGCTGCAATCGTGGCCAATCTTGCGGATACCGGGCACCAGGTTGACGATGACGCATTTCAAATCATCTACAGGGTACCACCGAACCCTTCGAAAACCGTCTGTCAACGTCTTCTCGCAACAGTCGAAGCTGTGGCCATCGCTTTGTTCTCAATAGCAATTCGTATAATCACTCAGACGGCCACGATAACACATAAACCCGAGATAGATGTAGCCTTTCCCATGACCCAGCGACCCAAATACGTGATGACAAGTCCACATCCTAATCGTTTTCCCAACCGTGTTACAAACATATCCTCCCCGCCCCCCCCCCTTCGTTCCCAATCACACATCAAAAACAATCACAAACGACGAATCACATGTAGATTTTGAAGAACATTTGAATTTGGCCACATATAACTGTTTCATACCGAAGAAGTTCCCGTAAACGAGCTTGTTCGCTAAAACTACTGTGTGTTCTTCCTATGCCAGGATGGGAATTTTCCATGGTTTACGACGTCATGCTAACACAACTCTCATTGACTGAAGACCTAATTTGGGTTAATAAAGCTGCTTTCTATCTATACGATGGGATGAGCAGAGAATGTTGACGAGAGTAGTCAGATACATGGGTTTGTACAACGAACCATCCATGGTCCTTTCCCTGCATCCGTACACACGTATACTGTAGTCAAAGTGAGCTTTATAGTCAATGAGATAATAACTATGAGATGAAGATAAGATCACTAATCACATCGGACAAGACATAATAACAAAAAGGAGACGAGAGAATGATTAGAAGGGACTGAGATCTTCGATCACACATCACTTATTCGGACAAAAACGTTGTGTCACTCTAACCCATGCACTTCAAATCAACTACAACACAACAAACACAAAGATCGTGAAATTTGCTGAGGCTCTAGCCATTCATACTCTCCAATCTGATCTATGCAAACAATGTGAATGGTTAGTCACATTAGCTTTGCCTTGATAATTGACCCTTGCCTTTTGTGCTATTGTATCGTGTTATCCGTTGCGATTAGTGATCTGGTCTTTGTCTCACAGTTACTATCTCACTGACTATACAAAAGTCACTTAGTCTGCAGTAAGCATGTGTATAAATGCAGTGAAATGACCATGAATGATACATTTTGTAAACCCATTTGTTTATGACTTCTCTGTTCAACTTCTTGACGGGAAAACAGTGAACAAAAGAAGTCCAGTATCTTGGTTACTAAGGCGCTCATTTGATAATGTTGTTTGTTCATCAACAGACCGTTGCCTATTATCGAAGGCGAGGTCCGTGTTGGGTGTTGATAGTCGCTCTCTAACGGAAGTAATCGTTCTACACCGCCTCTATTGACTTGGTCACGTATTGCGAATGCCTGTCCATTGACTACCTTTCCGTGTTCTCTTTGCACGTGCCGGGTAAGGCTGGAAGAAGCGTCGCGGCGATCAGACCATGACATGGCGCAGAGGTGTAAAGAAGCTGGTCTCAGCTTTGGCTTCGGTTGTGGCAGCCCACATTCCAGGTTGGGGCCCATGGGATGAGGATTGTCGTTGATTAGAGACGCTGAGGGATATGGCCCAAAATAGAAATCAGTGGCGCGAATACCTTAGGGTCTGCCTGTGGAAGTCCCGTGTCCCGTAAAACAAACGATAAACTAAGATGCAAAATGATTTTTACCCCATTTGTTTGTAATTTTTCATTTTAACAAATCCGTCTTTTATTTTTTAACTATGTTCTGTAGCCCAAACCTCCATCCAGTTATTGTTATTGTAGTGGCGTTGGCACCCTGCTTTTCCGCAATTCGGTGGTATATATATATTGCCTGTCCCGTCCCATAGAAGAAAAGCCATTGGCATGATATAGCTATTTTAGAGGTCCCTAAATAGACTAGTTGGTTGCATTGAACATCTGTAATTTATCGGAAAGTATCGAAGCGAAACATATCCGCAAGGATAGTCCATCATAAAGGATCACGTGATTGCCAAACATCACACGAATATTGAAACAAGCACTGTTTATGCATGAATCGTCAACTGGCTTACCTCATTCTTTTGTGCCTCAGATGCACTGCACAGAATGAAATAAAACTCGCCATTCTCCACATCACCCGGTACGACCAGGCGGGCTTTTCGTTTGAGTGAATCGATATGCCAATGACCTAAAATTCGCAGAAAATCTATCCACGCATCCGCATTGCTTAATCCACGCAGTTTGGCCGCGTCCAATCTTTCCGCACGAATTGCGAACACATGCAATTCCGGTGTGAGGGAAGTCAACGGACGTGAGTGGCAATAAATTGCCTGACCCGGTCGTATGCTTATCACTTCTTGGTCCACATCTAGAGAAAGAGGACTGCGCTCATGTTCCACTTCGAGTCGCAAATCCGATCGCCGGCTGTTCACACACAACCGTGAATGTGACAGTTTTCGGAAAGCACCCTGGCTTTTCAGTTGTTTAAATTCGGCCAACAACCATGACCAGTGCGGGATCGGTGGGGCAAATGGTCGAATAAGGGTTGGTTCGGCATGACAATACACTGTAGCACGATCATGTTTTTCGGTCACGTTCAATGACCAGGCTTGATTTAAACTTCTTTCACCGGTACTGGTGATTTGCCAAGCTCCCAATCCGAGCATGTGTACCGGGAAATTGTTATCCAAAACTTCGTACAGTCCCGTTTCTAATCCGAACAGTCGAGCGACCAGATGCGTTCGAACAAGACGGTAACCGTGATAGTATTCATCCGGTCCTTCACAGAACATCTGATAGGCCATACTCTGACAAAGTAGAATGATCTCTTCGCCCGGCTCTACACATACGTTCGAGTCCATGGTCACGTTCAATTGAGCCTCGTTACTTTCGTCCGTGATTGTGGACAAATAGGTTTTGGACCGAATTATCCGAATTACCGGCTTGTTCAATTTGGGCACCAAACACAGTGGATAGGGTGCCACTTTGGTTATGTTATGTGCCATAGAATCACGAAAATATCCGGCCACTGTAGTTGTACAAATGTAGTAGCCATAATCGCCTACGAACACAGGTTTGATGTCCAACGTTTGCATTTGTGACCATCGAAGTGGGGGATAAATGAAGAACCGCGATTCCTCATCCTGATTGTCTTCGCTCATCTCCAACTGTCTTTCGAGAAACGAGACGCTCAGAATTGGTTTCACGTTGTTTTGGTGGAAATCAGCCAAAGTGGTAACCCGGGACCAGTACAGTGTTACTGGTTGATACGCATATTCTGACCAGTACTCTAGAAAAGGGCATCGTATAGTGACCACACCCGGTAACATTAGGATTGTTCGTGTGAGTGTGACGGAATCCAAATTGTGCTGGTCTATATGCGAAGGTATTCGATCGAAATCCACGGAATCGGGTGGCGATTTGTTTCGCCGTCTTGATAGAAAATCAATCCAACGATTCCATTGGATACCTTGAAAGAATTCAGACATTTTCGAGGGCCAGGCATGTTTTAATGATTTGATTTCGTAGCCATTTTCTGCCAGGTCCGGATGGATATCCTCTATCGAAAATCGTTTCCACCGGTCCCATGTGTTACTCGTCGAATAGGTATCGTGTGATCTCAAGTCTTCTCGCCCGGAATAGCTTTGTCTTATATCACCTGTTGTTGAGGAATCCAACCCCCGGGGTGCACCGAATTTACCTCCTGCCGTAGGGACACTTTCTCGACTAGATGACAATCGGAGGGCGTTCGAAGAGTGCCCGCGTATTGTTCGGGAAGATTCATGTGAACGGAATTTGTCTGTTTCTGTTGACAGTATATGTGACTCCAGTTCTTGCCAATAATTCAGTTGATCTTTTATTTGTTTCGACATCCACGGTCGTTTGGTCCATCGGGAGTGATCCCATTCAACCGGGTCATAATAATCGTATATTCCAGTTCCATTGTCAGGGATAGCTATTTTGTGTTGTTCTACGGTTTCAAAATCTGATGCGAATTCATTTGGTTTGACCGGTCGAAACCATCGCTTTTTAGGTCTCCTTCTTAAATATGCTTTTGATGAAGATTTTCTTCGAGGAGGTATTACAAATTTATCGATCGGAGGTTGAAATCGGTCCGGAAGATCACGCATATCCAAAAAGCTTTTTTTGATTGGACGCTTGGCCCATTCTGCTCGGTACTTACCCATAATCTTCTCTCGGTCACGCCACATCTTCCATCGAAAGTCGAAGATTCGTTGACTCATTTTCTTGGGGATCATTTTATCATCACGCGTAAATTTGCCATCAGAGAACTGATCTACTTCCTCGTAGATTTTGTCTAACCATCGTGTATCGTTTCGAGCTGACAGTAACGCGGATGACGTGAGCTCACTTTCACCGCGTAATCCATCTGGAACTGGTATGAATTCCACCTGATCATCACCGATTTTTCGCGAGATTTTTACCATTACTTTTTTACGGGGTAACTCAGTATCGGGAATGACTGGAGTTTCTTTAGGGGGCATTTGTGGAGGGTAACAAACAAACGTTTCACCCCAAGCGTCATCCGGGACACATTGGTCGAATTTAGTTTGTTTTTGTGATTTAAGCCGAAGCGTGGTTAATAGAACGTAGTCGCTATCATCTTCTACTTCGGGATGAGATTTGGACAAGGGTGGTCGGAAGTCGATATCCAAATGTTCATCTGTTTCAGTATCCTTCAGTAGATTGTCTGGTTTATGCAGTTCTCGCAACCGATAGTCTTCTTTATCCGGTTGAAGAAAGAAAGACACAACTATGGATCCCCCCAGTGGATGTGGATGGCATGGACAGATAACGGAGCAGCGAAAAATATAGTGTCCAGCGCGTGCTAACCTGCTCAATTCCAATATTTCACCCTCCACTATCTTCTTTGGATTCCAGTCGTCTGTGGGCATCGAAATTCGAGGAATAGGACCGGCAGTCCACTCCCAGCGTACAACTCCATTATGACATCCGTCTCTTGAGTTACATTTCAAACGATGGTTAGTCGTGTACACATCCAAGTTGTCCGGTTCCCAGTAGAGTTTTGTGGGTGCTTTGCATACGACCGGGGGTACTTTGTATACCTTTTGTTCGACAGACTGTTGACTGATTAGAAGACATCCGAAATCCGTGTGAGGAAGACTTCGTCCAACTCGTTCATACTGATCCATCATACGAATGATGATGCCACTTTTGTGCGTTGGTACGAGCACGGTGCGATTGATGCCAGTCGGGGGTTTGACCGGAATCAGTTGAAACACACTGACTGCCCGATCAGATGGATTCGTGGTCCAGGCTATGCATCGTGTGTGCACCAGGTCGCCCACGTAGATGGCTCTCAGTGGTTGGAACCACAAAGAAGAATGTTCCGCAGAACGTTGAGCTAACGATATAGTTCTTGTTTCCCCTTGAAAGACACTGAATTGCAGTTCACTGTATAAGTAGATCTGATTGGACGTCCCCACGGAGCAGTAGTACTCGCCGCTGTCAAATTCCTTTCAGAATTGAAAAGAATAACAACAACAACAACAGGGACAAATCCATGTGAATCCCAAAAAGCAGATTCACTGATATGAATTAGCAAAAATGTGTATGCAACAACTTGGCGGGGTTTTGTCCTTTCCTAAAAATTCATCTGGGTGAATCAAAAGTCTACTGGAAAGATTTACAGATCACCTATCTATTTGTAGTGTTTCTAACGTTTTTGGAGAGCGCTTGCTAAATCAGTAATATTCCTTCATACACACACACATCTTCACTTATGATGTCAATCATTATTAAACAAGAAAAAACATTTGATGATTTAAGCAACAAAAAACCATAACAAATAAATGTTCTAATCAACGAGCAAATAAAGAGGATGCTTAGACCGACAGTTTCTTCCGGTGGATGGAATGACTGCCACGATCGGAAAATAGCTGACGTTAGCACAACAGATAGTTCAATTTTTTGTTGTGTTGCATCTGAATCTTTTTTTTGATAAAAAAATTGTATGCATTTCTTTGGCTCTCAACATATTTGTGATAAAGGAGACTGGTCAAATATGCAACTTATTTCGTTTGGGTTTTACACCCCATTTCTCTCCTCCCAACTAGCAAAGATGACCGACAGATTACAGTATGGTAAAAATCAACTTTTTCCGGATGAAAACAACCTACAGATATGATAAAACACTTTGAGATAAACGTCACCAACTGCCAAATGATAGCTTTTATCGATCATGAAAACCCTTTAAAGCCAAATGGCTTCTAGGAAAAGCTTGAATAATGGTTAAATCGATCACATGTGTGAAAGTGTGGACAGAAATCTCGCATTCGTTTTGCGACAATAACGGGAAAGTATGGAAACAAATTTTTCACCAGATAATCATAAGTATATCTCATCCGGTGTCTTTGAAGCATATCATGCTTTCCTCTATCTCTTCTGAGAGAAAGCGGTCATTAGATGATGGGCTGATATGCTTGACCAAACGCACCTGCTCTCGGGTCTCGGTAGAATATCCGCACGATTTTGAGAAGGTCCCCGCACTGGCTGTCCTATTACAGTGGATACTCGGTACGGTGAGTGTAGACTGTTCAATGAAAGTATTTGGGCAATAAAATATGGCTGGAATACAGTTACACAAATGAGAAACTTGTTACTTCCGTAACAGGACTTACCGTATTCGGTCCAACGTTGAATCGTACCAGCATGTAATCTGGACCAGAATCCACGGTACAACTGTACTCAAAGTTTTCCGTTGAGCTGATCAAGTCAAGGGGGATTACTTTTAGAGATCTTAAATTTTCCTTCTCCGTAGGACCCGAAATACTCTGTTTTATCGATTTCTCTTCCAGATTGACGAATACTAAAGTTCGGTCGTATTGCAACCAACTGGTTCGGGCAATCCGGTGCAGATGAACTCGCTTTGGCGATAAGTCCCGACTAAAACTCAATTTGCACTCATAGAAAATTGTGTCACCGACGTGATTGATATGTGGCTCAATAATTTCCCCGGATGTGGTATCCTTTGTATCTGTTTCTAATTCTTTCGATTTTCCAGCAACGGAACAACGTAAGAGAACTTGACCATGAGGAATGGAGGATTTATGTGACAATTTGGGCTCAAAACGAATTGAAACTGCATAGTCTACTGGCTTGGGTGTAATCATTGGTTTGTGAACATTGATGATTTTCGGCCGGGTAGATATGAATGTGATCGTAGATTTGTATTTTTTCAGATAATCACCTAGTCGATGATTGTCTGTTTGAATAATACGAATTTCTCCATCTTTATTTGGCGGATACAAAACGGCATGACATTTCCAAATTTCCTCCCTTGGATCGTACACAAATTGGGAAATTTTCGGACCGATAGGGAATGGCAACTGAATGATTTCGGAAAAGAAGCTTTTCTTTGACACCGATTTTGGTGTGTGCGGAAATAGCGTAACAATACCTTGACAATAGACCAATGCATTGAAATCAACTATTTGAAGACTGTTCACTGAGAATCGGATAGTTCGATAGATCTGAGCTGAGGCCCGTTCACGCCGAACAAGGCATTGGGACTCATAGAACGTGTTGTTTGTCTCGGGTGCACGGACAAACCGAGTGCAATCTGTGTCTAGTGGAGATGCGAACTGACATGCGTGCTCCGTTTCATTGGCCGATTCGATAAACGTTTGGAGTTCCAGAGGTTTGACCACGTTACACAATACTACTGCATTTTGTTGATTTGAATAGACCATTTTCAATGGCAAACCATGAGAGGAAGATGGAAAGACGCAGTCGAACTGAACCCGAGAACCCTCACGTAATGAGTCCACTGTCGAATTGCTTCTCAGGNATCGGGTTCGAAGGACAAGGGGAGGAAAAGCTCAAACCACTCAGTGGTGCACTGTATTTGGTCAAATCTTCTTCTTTGGGCAGTTCGTTTAGACGTCTCAGATAGTTATCATCACTTCGAGGCCTGACAAGACAATACAATGCCTGATCTTTAGACAGTGATATCACATCCACCCAGGTCAATTTGGCCTCGCAGAGCTTGCTCTGTGGTTGGGCGTTGGGCCAGCTTCGAGTCACAATCTGATAGATCATCACTTTAGTATTTGATTTAATCAGTGGGTATTTGAATACGAGGACCACTTCAAGGTCATTAGCATAGCCTTCATAGATGCACAAAAACTGTATTGCACCCCCAGGCCCGTGTGTTTTCAAAAACAATATAGGTTTATTCACTGTCGGCTTACGCAAACGAACGTGAGCGGTCCGATAGTGAACGGGATCGTAAACCTGGAAAATGAATGTCGATAGAGAAGGGAAAATAGAAGTAATGTGGAGCTATTCTTCATTAAGATAAACACTCAAAAGGATGATTTCAAAATACAACGTTGTATGGTAGCAATTTTAACTGATCACATCTCTAGTGAAATGTTTCTCGTGTGCGTTTGAAGTGAGAAAACAAAAATAAAAGTAATACCCCCGCCCGCCCCCCTCCCCCCAAAAAATAAGAATTCTTTTCTTTTGTGCTGGAGATCATTGTGAAGGAACGAGTATGTAGTAGTGATCATAACCGTACCACTGTCCAGTACTAGGCAACCGCTTTTGGTTTCGAAATAAGGACAATGACAAATCCATGTAATGGAATCAGTTCAGTTCGTACAACCGTTAACCATGCACTTTCGTGCGCCGGTTTTTTGGTTGCTGTCTTTTGGCAATGGAATAGGATGGGTGCAGGCTGGTGAACCGGTGATAAACACGATCCGCATTCAGTTTACTTTGCCTCCATCTCACACTGAAAAATTCATTTTGAGCACAATACGCTTAGCTGTATTGATCATCAGTTAGTTTCGGTAAACGCCGGTTCTACTCTCTATTTTGATCTTTACTGGACAGGAAAACATTGCCAAATAGAAAACGAATAATCAGTGGCGAGTAAAATATTCAGAAAACAACTTATTTTGCCTAAAGCTCTCATTCAAGGTTTACCTGTGCATAAGTAAACGCGGAAATTTTCAACGTCCGTTCACTCGTTCAAGTGCAGTATTGATCACTTTTCGTTTTCCTTTTTTCCGTTTACTTCCTTTTATTGAATATACAAAGATACAATTTTCAGGAAGCGGGAAGCAGCCGATCACAAAAGGGGAAAGTCAGGCTGCGGTGGGATTCAAACACACGCCGTCCGGGTTGATATTTTGGTGACGTTACCACTAGGCCACCATCGCCCAGATTATCATACTTTTTTCCTCTGTTATGTTCGAAATGTTTATGTTTCAATATGTATGCGAGAAGAGGAAGATGTGATCCAATTTCACTTTGACTTCGTCATGCATAGAACAAACGAAAAATGTGAACTGAGTGGTCGGAAAACGCGATGCAATTATTTCAACCTGACTGGGTCTCATTAACAGTACAAATCTATCAACCCAAACGGGGATCGAACCCAGGAACTCATGGGTCGAACGCAAACATCCTACTCCCTTGACCACCGCTCAGCTAATAGGACCGGTATTCATTTTTACTTTAAACGATATAGCCCAACCCAACGCATGGCGCTACTACTGTCATAATTCAAAATGCCAGTTTGAGGAGTGTTGTGTGATGATGAGAACGATGCAAGATGGAGATGAATAAGATTATAAAGAAGAAAATGTTCAATTTGCAACAGGTTATTAGTATTTTCCTGAAAAAAAGTCCGGCGGCGATAGTGGGATTCTGACACAAAAGTCCTGTAGTATTTTGAACAGGAATCGGAGTCGAGTAGCGCGAACTCGGATTTGAACTAAAGACCCACTGAATGGCGCAAAGTCCAGTAGAACCAAAACATACTGTAGTTAGAGTTAATTTCATTCGGAGTATCACGCAAATAAATACCACAAAGATTACACAATCATTGGTCGATTCTTCAATGTGCAATCTACAATGATATGGCTATTTGGTTGCCCTCTTGCATTCATCCAATCGGAATGGTACCCTCTGAGATCACAGGATTGGTCGGGAAATCCGTTTCCTGATTGGCTACCTGGAAGCTGTACTGTACTCGGTACACGATCATCATACTCCTATGGAGCGATAATTTGGTGATCTTTACAACTCGGCCACCACAACCACAACCACCGTAAAGCGTAGTAGCCGAGCGTGGTTTCGATCCACGGACCTCTAGGTTATGGGGCCCAGCACGCTTTCACCTCACCACTCCAGTAGATACGAAATTTTCATCAAATTGACCAAAATTGGTATTATGAGTTTCAATTTTCCGGGGTTCTACCGCTCCCTCTTCCAGATCATATTACTACTTATAGCACTTGCAGTATACGGCGAACAATATTATTACGTTCCGCATACAACGGTAACCTTGATGCATTTCAATTTTGATTGGCTGCAGCAAAACGGAAATTCCCGTTGATGTTCTCATAACGTTTTCTTAGTATTCCACAACTGTTGGCTGATGCAGAATGGCTAGAAACCCCAAAAACGGAAGATGTGAATTTCCTTGATCAATGAGTTCTTCTGGCAGTCAAGCTTACAAGTTCCACTCCGTTTTCACAATCATGAACCGTGCACCGGTTTTGGTTGCTGTTTGATGACTTCCCATTTGGATAAAAGAGCAAAAGGAAGATTGGAATGTTCGGAGTAGAGTCAAAGAGAAGATAAATAATTAATCTAGGATAGTGATTAGATGCGCGAACTTCACTGTTTGAAACACCCAACCATATAACTCATTGTCTCTTACCATCGGTTACGATAATTTCGGGGTCCCCGTCCGGGGAGTCTAAAGCGACCTGTATGATCGAGTTTACTGGTTACAGTTTTCATACATGAGTCTCTGTAGGCAAATTGCTCTCCCTATTCCATACTGGATAACCTATGAACGAGATGAACTTTTCCGTATTGTTTGATGAACGGTTGTAAACGCAGTGTTACGATGTGGTCCTGGTGAGTCATCAGACAGCGGCCGACATGCTTCCCGATCGGGTGCTATCATACACCACACATATTTGCTCATCCTGCTCGCACATGTGTTTACACTGATTGATTCAGTGATGTGTCACACAACACACGCACGCACACCGTAACAATGCGACACCGACATGCAATAAGAAAAAGCAACCAGTCACATGACCACACCAATTCACCGCGCCTGTTATCTCTCCATTGACCCATCCGGGCATTCATGAACCCAGCCACTCAGTGTACTTGACCTTGTGACATTCATCCGTCAGTCTGGGTGACTAGGATCCAACACAATCGATTACACGCCGGACTATTACGTACGATCCCTGTGGATTATATGGCGCACATTATCATCCGGCACCCCCACAGATGTTTGCTTAATTTTGGGTTATTAGAGAAGCGGACACTGTTAAATGTTTTATATATTGCTTTGGACATTTTTATTATATAAATCACTGTTTTCTTTGATGATACATGACAGTCGATTTTTACATGGTTTGTTTTAAATTGTGAACTTGAAACATGTCGGATGAGTCGAAACCTGAAAAAGGATATCTCAAAAGGGTGGAAAACCGTTCTGCGGAGGTTCTCTTGCCCATTATCCAATGTTGGGTCCAACCTGGAACCACAATTTCCATCGATCAGTGGGCAGGCTGCCGATGACTTTGTTCCCTAGGTTACATACATATGTGTGTCAACCACTCAGACGGTTTCGTCAGCCCCATAACTGGTGTTCATACTAATAACGTTGAATCCTTTTGGAGCCATGTCAAAAGGCGCTTGAAAAATGTTACGGGGTTAGTCAGAGATGTATTATGGGAACATCGGGATGAAGTTCGGTCCCGAATGTGGTTTAATTTGTCCGTACAGACATTTAACAATGACACTGATACTTATTTGCAATATGTTGCGCAGTTGTATCCGTGTTGAATATAATTTACTAATTATTAGATTATTTTCAATTATTTCTGTTCCGTTTGCCGTGTGGAGTTGGGAAATGTTTATTACTTATAAGTAGTATTTTTATTTTTACGAAAATCGTCGCGGGGCAGGGGTTGTCGGATGGTCACGTACGACGGTGACGTACGACAAGATGCTTACGTTTTGCTTAACTCAACTGGGATTACGCTTATTCAAGCGAGTGATCAGACCGAGATAAGATTTCCGTTAAGTGCGATCCCCGGCGCTTACAAGGGTCGGTAGACTTGATCGACAGTCGTCCCCAAGGAAACTTTATTATTACGTTGTCTAACTGAATAAATTTTACAGGAAAATTTTTGCCGTGAGAGATATAATACAAAAATTTGAAAGTGGCATGTGTTAACATTATATCTAAGTACGTTATTTCGTTTATATCTAAACTCATTTTTAAAAATTCTGAAATATCACTATCTCTTATTGTGGAGTTATTGGCGTAATTCGACCTGGAAATTCCTCTGATGTTCGTCTAAACTTCTTTGCCTGAAACAACAGCTCGCTGTCCGTCCAGAATTGTGGAAATACATAAAAATGTTGTGAGTAAGTAAGTGTAAATATGAACTTGGAAGTCCGTCAGAAACCGTTTTGGATTCTCTGATGTATGACAGAAGCAAAGGAAAGGGAGGACTACTGGAGTTATATGAAGAAGATACAGAAATTAGTTTTCGCCTCAGTGGGGAACAGGGTGGGACCATTTGGACGAAGTTCTGTATCGATATCAGTCTCACTTTCGCCCTCAAAAATCCAAATGGATATAGAAAATTTCTTGGAACACATCAGTGAACGTTATCACGTCAATTGTTTTGTATATTTTCATTACAATACGTTTTAAAAATTAATTTTAGTCTTCTAAAATATCATTCTAATACAAGTACTTTCATGCTACTCATGAGTAGTCAGTATATTATTGCGAGTTTTTGCGTTGTATGGGCATGTTCCTATCGTTCAGGTCTACTCAATGGTCTATATGCCTGACAGGCTTCAGTGCATTGTGTGAACTTCATTCACTGACATATCACAGAACCTCGTTCCAGACAATAGACATATAAGTGAAAACTCTGGCTAACTATTCAGCTGTGGCTGCTTTTTCCCGATACTCGGGAGGTCAGCCACAAGCATATCACGACCGTTCGACTCATTTTTCGGATGAAAATCCATTTACTAAAACAAAATTTTACACCTAATGATCTCAATATGGTAGTGGGAAAATATATACGTATTTACCGATTTCATGTTCCCACGTATAAGCGTGCATGAGAGAATGCATTTAGTGCATTAAATCAATAGTGGATCGTAGTGTTCAACCGGTGCTAGTCACCAGCATATCACCCGCAAGGTCGTATATTCGAACCCCATCAGCATAACCTAACTTTTCGTTTATTTTTTTTCGTATCCCATGCCAGCTGTCTGATTGACTCGTAAACTTCTTGTATGCTTATATATTCAATAGAAGAAAGCAAAAGCATAGTGAAAGAACTACACAGGGCGGCTTGAACCCGTTGCATCGGAAGTACGCATGCTCGATTCACCTGTATGTATTACGCAACCGGTTGTTTTAACCTGGTAGGCTGAAAAGTTGATCTGAGATGTCCATGGCGATCCGTGCACAATAAACGCTTTGTAACGGTTCAAAAAAGAATTCATCAGCACTATAGCCGGAATTCAATTCGGCCGCATCGTTCACTGGCAACGGATGCCAGTCACGTGACCCTGGCTGGCCTTGCTATCCGTTTCGTCGGTATTGACAAGCTCAATATTTTATTCCATATATGGATGCCGTAAACCTTCTTGAGACAATTACCGTCACTCGTCTTCAGTTCAGTGGCTTGTGTTCTCCCAAACCCAGGGATGGGGTTTACANGATGGGGTTTACAGATATAACAAGCAGTTTCTGGGGTGGTGGTGGTCAAGTAGTTAGGGTCATCAAAATGGAGACTGGGAAGTCCCGGTTTCGAACCGCTTTATCGCTGCCCATCTCCCACATATGTATATTTTCCAAGATAGCCGTTGTATGGCCGTGACTCCCTTCCTGAATGTTGACTGTACGCTTGTAAATTAAAAAAATTAAAAAAGAAGTAAAAGACATGACAAAAAATAGCCACAACAGTGTCACCTATCCTCATATGGGTAGGGACGTATCACATCCAGACGATGAGAATCACAGAATTGACATTTCATTTCGCTCTGAGGGTGTTAACAATCTAAAAGAACATCCCAACCAGTTTTGCATGACCAAAGCATTCTAAAAACATCTCCAACTCTATTTTAAAATTCGTT